TCTTGCACTTCACCGATCTTGTCTGGAGCAGGACTTGGTACATGATCTTCAGAAATGGCTCTGCAGACAGCAGTGAAGGAAAAAGATGCTGCAGTTGAATTCCTGCTCCAGTAGCTGTCAGTGCTCTGCCAGGAAACAGTGGTAAAACTGTAAGTGTGTGGATGGGATTGAATATAAACAAGGAGCTGATCTGTCTTGAAAGAAAGGGCTATATTCATCCAAGATCTGGCTGTGTCCTGTGCCCAGTAAGATAAATAGAAAAGGCTGCAATCAACTTCAGCTGGATGGATGTGGTGATTAATAGACTGAACCTATTATTACTTTCCAAAATCAAACTCTTTGTAGAAATACAAATGGCTACAGATTGAGATGTTGCAATAACACAGGCACCACATAACAATACCAAGTTCAGGATAAACACCCTGAAGTTTTAGAACATAAGAATAAAAATAAAGACAATAAAACTATTTCTTAGTTAATATTTCATTAATGCATATGATTGCCAGATGTATCAATGAATATGTTTGCTTATAAAAATGTTGGAGGATAGTTGGCAGCTACAACTGCTATTTTGTGATGCATATATGCCTGCACAATAATACTGAATGCTCAAGGGGAATTCCAAGCTTAATGTTTTCAAAAATTTGTTCTACAAGACAATTGAAATTTTTTCTGCTTTTGCAGATGGCTGTACTAGCTCTGCCAAGAGCCGTTTTGTGGCGTGGGCACATTACAGTCTATTACTTAGAGACAAGTTTTACAAGTTTTCTGTAACCTTAAACACCTCAAGGGAAGCTTCCTGGTGATATTTTGAAGAATGAAAGAGCAGTGAAAAGTTTTATTTTGGTTTCAAAGTCTAATGCCCTACTGCAGAATTTTCACACTGTCCTGAGTTCAGCCGCAGCAGTCATTTTTCTCCTTCTTGGTAGCTGGTGCAGTGCTGTGGTTTTGACTTTCGGCCTGGGAACAGCGCTGATAACACTGATGGTTCTAGTCATTTGTCATCATTACTTTTCCTTAACTTCCTAACAGAGCTCAAGTTAATTGTAATGGCTGCTACAACATAAATTGAAGCCACCCCTGCTTTTTGAAGTCATACAATATGTTACCAACAGCATCTTAAAAGGAACACAAAGTATCTGAAATTGTTTTCCATATCTGAAATTAAGTAAGCCTGTCCTTAATACCTCAAAATATAAACAACCCCCCTACTTATATGTTAAAATTGATACTGGTCTGCTTTTGGGGAATACTACGCCATATGACTTCCATACCAACATACGTACAAATAAAACTTATATGGAGAGCTGAGACACTCTTCATACTGACAATCCAAAGTAAATGGTCTCTTAGCTGGAATGGCAATGAGCTGTTTTATCAACAAATACTGTATGTGTGTCTATATTTATGTATGTATTTAATCTTATGATTCCATTTGCTCTCTGTGGAGCAAAACTTACCGTAATTAAGTTCTAGCTGAAGTAACAGCTCTAATACAACTGTAGGAACTAATACCTCCTCACAAATGTGTTGTTTTTTTCGTTTTTTTTTTTTTTTTTTTTTTTAAGCTAACATATTGCATGTTTTAGTAACTGGTTACAAATGCAGAAGAGAAATTCTGCTGGTTTAAACGACCTATTTATGTAGGATACCTGTGGTTGAGCAAAATAAAGCTGGAGCAGAATTCAGTTCAATGAGCTCCTTACTGATGGTAAAATTGAATCAGGTGCTTTCTCTTCCCTCTTCAGCTCCAATGTGCTCCTGCGCTATGCCTGTTTCAGCTAATCAACCTACACTGTTAATGTGTCATTTCTTGAGATGACTGACACAGGACATGGGACCAGCAGGATAAAAGACTGTGTCCAAAGACAGTTTCAAAACTTACCTTCAGCCTCACTTAAAGTGCATCTAGCTTTAGTCAGAGCTTTCTAATTATGGCTGCTGCAAAGAAATTGTGTGAAATCTTATTTTAGATGCCCTTTACGTGATAGGAACAATCCATAAACTGCAACTCAAATGCCTGCATCATATTCAGACATCTCAAGCAAGCTAGTAGACAGAAAACATCCAAGAATGTACCTGAGATTTATCTCCTTTTATTTTCTGGCCAGGTTGAATTAGGAGCCTAGTAGTAATTCCTAGCAATCTATCATCGATGGCTTTGGTCTTGCACCTGAGAAGAAAAAGTAGTAAGACTACTACTAAGGCAAAGGATAAAAAGTTTGGGGAAAACCAGCTGTGTTCATCTCTGACACTACAGATGTCTCGATAACCCTTCAGCCTAGGGATTTGTGCCTGCTGAAGACAAAATGACTGGGTTCTGTGTGGCCAGAATGACTTTCAAAAAAGTAGTGAAAGTGGGAAGTTGATACCCACCTGTTTGAGCTCTGGCTTCTGCTGGTATCATTGTGTAACAAAGACTGGCCACTTTTTCTAGGGTTAAAACCCCCTATTATTTTAGTTTAAAAGCATTACTAACAACAAGGATACCTCTATGTTTCTATAGTCGTTTCATCGAAGGACATGTGTAAAATCTGTTCAGAGGATGTAATACTACAGGGATGAAATGTGAGATTGCATTTTCCACTTTCCTTTACAGGAGAAAAAAAAAAAAGACTTTTCTGAGCTTATAATTAAAAACACATGGTACAGTGGTCAGAAGCAGATTTTCTAGTTTTTAATAATTTTTTTATTAGAAAATTATCTTTCAAGTTTTCAAAGCTATCGCCTATCCCTGGTCTCTCCCCTCCAAACACATTCAGTGTGACATTGGTGTAATATTTTTATCCAATACTTTATAACATGTAACAAGCCATGTAGATGTGAACTCACCCAGCTTAGCAAGTTATTATATCCAGTATATATTTCAATTGGAAAGGCAAAACAGAATTTTGATTGGAAAAGCATTCAGCATCCTTTACTGAACACAGGTACAGGACTGGTAGCATTGACCACTAGATGCCACCGTTGCTCCTATAAGAGTGCTCTAGTCTGTATTTCGGTCTGCCCATAAACCCCCACAAAATTTCAACAGATTTCCCTACAGTGTATCAGAATTCTGGTATAGCATTGAACTAAGAAAGTACACAGCCGTAACACTTCCGCTCTAAACAACCTTATATGCAATTCTGTTATAAACTATTTTGATAATACACAACACCTTAAAGTCCATTTTCTTCTTGGAAATATGTAAAGGGCTTTATAGTCACCTCTCACAGGTCCTCCGTATCTGTTTTGTGACAAAAACAAGCACTCTCAGACCTGAGCAGCAGACACAGCCAACGGTGACTGGAGACATTTCAATGTGTGCATAAGCAATTGGAAATAGCTTAGAGGCATACATTGTACCTCTGCAACCCCACAGTAGTAAGTCGTCTGAAAATTTAGGAGCCTTAGGTCTAAAGGAGTCTTTACTACTGGAGGTTGTAATATGCATGTCCCACTGGGACCCATAAACCCCCAATTGTTTGCAAGGAGCAAGGCAGGGGGAGTTGGAGATTGGTAGCATTTTAAAGTGGAAGACTCATAAAAAGCTGAAACAGTCATAATACTGATAAACCCTAATACTGTGGTAAAGGCTTTCTGAAGGCCAGCCCTCCTGCTTAGCTTGTTGCCTGTTATTAGCTTGGTGAAAGCAGACCCAGGATCTGCCACATTGGCGCTTTCAGAACATCTTGGGTGGCATTTATCTACCAGGACACAGCTGGACTGTATACATATGTGTGCCTCATACCTAGCGCCTTGCTGCTTGGCATTACAAATGCTGAAGCCTGAATGCACATAGAGAGGAAATTAGTGATGGGCTGCTTTGGAAAGGGTGCTCAGCCTTGGGGAAGCTAGAGGGTATGTTTCCTGAACCTGATGCTTGTGGATCTTAAAACTATCAAGTGCACACTGCATGTGGCAGAGGCACAAGGAAAAAACAAAAGTTACTTCAATAAGTGACTTCTTCACAGCTAAAGACTATGCAGAATATGTTTTATTTCTTTGTTAGGTAGGCAAAGTAATTTCTGTCTTTTTGGAAAAAGGCTTGAAATTCTTCTCTTGGTATTCACTTACTTTTGTTAGCACCATAAAATACCAGCTTCTATACTCCTCCCCTCACCTTGACATATGTGTCTGACAATTGGTAAAGTCACAAGAAGTGCTAGACAATACCACAGACTTAGCTACAAAAACAGTTGGCTTTGCTGACAAATAACTAAACATACACTACTGGATCTTCAGCAGCTTGGATGTATTTCAGTGAAATGACAAATGGGCGTCAGGAACAATTTTGGGCTTTTGCAGGAGATGAACATCTTGCAGAATTAAATTAGGGATGCAAATAAATATGGAGGATATGAGGGAGATCTTACATTTTGGAAATAAAGCTGTTCCTATAGGCAGAGGCCTGGAAGTTTAATTCCTGCTGTCAGCCATCCTGGGCTGTGGACGGTGCAGTCACCCTGACATCAGAAAGATGAGGAGGCAATCCCCAGCGTCTTGGAGCTTGTAATGATGATGATTATGACAACGACGACAATAACAATAACAACAATAACAACAACGATAATGGTAGTAATGATGATAATAATGAGGATGATAACAGCAACAATATCATCCTCAGGCTGTGAGAATCTATGCCATAGGAAAAGACATGGTCAGGAAGAACTACAGTTGTCTGGAAAGTTGTCAGCTGTTCGGGCTGGAAAGCAGAGGGTAGAACAGGGGCCGAGCAGACGGCTTCCCTCTGACCACCTTTCGCCTGAGAAACTAAGGCAGGACTGTTCTACCCAGCGTTCTGTGGCCGCCCTCGGGAGATGTGAAGCTGCGGACGCAGACGCGTTCCCCGCTTCGTGAAGCTCCCAAAGGGATAAGGACGTGCGAGTACGCGGCCGGATCTGAGGGGCGCGGTGGGCATACCGTCACCCCACCGACCAGCGGGAGCCCGGTCCCGGTCGATGGAGGGGGAGACGGAGGCCGCCGGGGCCGGGCTGTGTGGCGAGGCCGTGGCGCGGGGAAATCTCGATCAGCACCTAAAAAAATCGTTTCCTTCCGGAGCGACGGCGCCGGCCGCCACTTTCCCGGCGCAGCTCGGTTGCCGGCGGCTGTGCCCTCCGGGGTGAGGCGCTCGGCAGCCGCAGAGGAAGCCAGCGGAGCAGAGAGCGAAGCGGTGGCCGCAGCTGCCGTGTGGAGGAGCCTGAGCGGTGGGAGGGGCGGGGAGGGACCAGCCGCCGCGGTGACAAGGTATCAGCTGAGCGGAGGGGCCGCCGCTAGAGCTGAGGCGTCCTCGCCACCACCCTCCCGTCAGCAGAAGTTTGACTCGAGCGCCGCGCAGCCGCCCGGGCCGCCGAGGCGGGGCAGGGAGCCGCGCCGGGAGCCGCTGCGGGACAGGGGTCGCCTCCAGCGGGAGGCAGCGGCTCTCCGGGAACCGCCCCGTCCGCGCCATGGCAGCGCGGTCCCGGAGACCCTGGCTGAGCTTGGTGCTGGGGCTGGTGCTGGGCTTCACCGCCGCCTCCTGGCTCATCGCCCCCAAAGTGGCCGAGCTGACCGAGAAGAAGAGGCGCGGTTCCAGTCTCTGCTCTTACTACGGCCGCTCGGCGGGTCCAGGGGCGGTCGGGGGCGCAGCGGGCGGGCAGCAGGCGCCACCGGAGGCAGCTGCTGTGCAGGGCGGCACGAGTTTCAGGAGCCCCTGGGAGCTGCCGCCGGCGGCGGACGGAGCGGTCTCCAGCCCCGCCGCTGGCGGGGAAGGAGAGCCGGAGGAGGAGGAGGAAGGCGGCGAGAAGCGGGGTAGCCGGCCCGGCGGCAGCCACAACGGGAGCGGGGACTGGGGGGGATCCCCTGGCTGTGCCAAGCCCCGCAATTTCCTCTACGTGGGGGTCATGACGGCCCAGAAGTACCTGGGCAGCCGGGCAGTGGCCGCGCAGCGGACGTGGGCGCGCTCCGTGCCGGGGCGCGTGGAGTACTTCTCCAGTCAGGGCTCCGCCGCGCCCCCCGAGCTGCCGCAGCTGCCCGTAGTCGCCCTGCCTGGAGTGGACGACTCCTACCCGCCGCAGAAGAAGTCCTTCATGATGATCAAGTACATGCACGATCACTATCTGGACAAGTACGAGTGGTTCATGAGGGCGGACGACGACGTCTACATTAAAGGTGACCGGGGTGCGCCCCGCCGGTGGGCGGGAGGGAACTGAAGGCCTGGGTGCCTGGCAGGGTCCGACGAAGGGTGTGGACAGTCGTTCCCTCCCGGTGTGGAAGGATGACACGCAAGGGATATTTCGACTCACCGCTGCCCCGGTGGCTTTTGCCTCCAGCTTTCATGTGCGGGGCTTGTAATGCCGTCCAGGCGCTGCGGTCCCAGTGGGAACTCCCAGGTGCCCTCGCGGGGCCGGGCGCGTTGTAGAACAGAGGCAGTGGGCTGGACAGCGGCGAGCACACTGAGCGGTCCCGGTCTGGGCGTTGAGTTTTGCGGCTTGCAGCCGCCGCGCTCGCTACCGGTGCGGCGCTCCCGGGGCCGGAGGACAGGGACCGGCACGCCCCGGCGGTGCCGGGCATGGACAGGGAGAGGCGGGCGATGGCGGCCCTGCGCCCCTCTGCTGTCGGCAATCCCGCTTCGCACCGCCGTCCGGGCGCCTCCCGCTCCGGCAGGGCTGCTTGGAAATGATGTTTTCAGCACTATTTAGAGTTCGCTACGGGATCTCTGGCACTGAGCAAACTGTGGACGCTACTTGTAAAGCTGCTGTTCTCCTTTGAAGGTTGTGGCTCTGGAAAAGCACTGGCCCTATTTCCGCGCGAGTTTTAATAGCACCATTAGGATGCACCATGTGCTGCAACCAGCCTGCTTTTGATCTATGCTTGCTGCTGCTGTTGCTAGTGCAGTGTCCTGCTCTAGGAAGGAATGAAGCTAAGGTTGTAAGCACAAGCCTAGGCTATGAGCGTGCTTACATTGTTGAAAGCACTGTTGAAAGTTAACCTGAGGCATCTGTATACTTCCGTACTTGTCCCTTAATTGTGTTTCGGTTGTTTAATGGGCTGTTCGCTTGTCAGCTGTCATTCATCTGTGAAAGACTTGCGCATGCACATATGTATGTATGTGTAAATACTCGGTTGCAGACATAAAAGTTGTCAGTGGCTTCTTTCATCTCATTTCGAATTTGTAATGATCTGGCTTTAATCGGTTCCAAGGTTCCAAGTTAAACCTATCTGGAAACGTTCAAGTAAATCTGAAATCACAATTTCTTAAATAGGTAAGGGGTTTGCAGGAAAGGTGTGTGTAGACATTGTAGCACTGGACATATGTTGGAAAGAGCTTGTTCTGACAATTACTCTGTAATCAAGCACATTTATCTCAGTTAATTTAGATTTGCTCTGGTCTTTTAAAAAATCAATCCTATCAAAATAAAAACTGTCACTTTCCCTTCCCTCCCCTTCCTCCCAGCCTGGAACTATATTGCCAAATTGTCCTACTTTAGAGGGTGAGAGAGAGTTCTAAAATAGCAAGAGAGTGCTTTCCATCAGTAGTGGTTGAACAGAACACTGTTTACTGACAAAATTAAGGGTGGATCGTATTCTGGCCTTTGACTGGTTGAAAATGTCACTGTAATGTTAATTAATTAAAAAAAAAATCTGTTAAAGGTAAACTTGTCCAGGATATTTTCTGTTAGGTGCAGGTTAGTGCTTTGAAAGCCATTTCCTGTAGCAGTCCCAGGTGCCTGTTACATTTCTAAAAAAGCTTGAGGCTGAGGAAAAGAGTCGGCAGACTAAGCAGAGAATTGCTAATCATTTTGTCTTTTTTTCAGGTGAGAAATTGGAGGAGTTTCTTCGCTCACTGAACAGCAGTAAACCTCTGTATTTGGGACAGACTGGTCTGGGTAACATTGAAGAACTTGGAAAACTCGGGTTGGAGCCTGGAGAGAATTTCTGCATGGGAGGGCCAGGAATGATCTTCAGCCGTGAGGTTCTCAGGAGGATGGTGCCACATATAGGTGAATGCCTTCGAGAAATGTACACTACTCATGAGGATGTGGAGGTGGGCAGGTGTGTCAGAAGGTTTGGAGGAACTCAGTGTGTTTGGTCGTATGAGGTAAGTGATTATAAGTTGCAATGTGCTGTTTGTTTAGAGTTATCTTGCAGCATAAGTCGGTATATCTGTGATTTCTTTCCATGATAATTGTGTTTTAATGCCTTAAACTGCAGACTGTAAGGAAAAAAAGAGAGGAAAGCATACACAGCATGTTGCTGTAAGCATATTTATTTCTACTTGTCTTTCAGTTTTCATTGGTGACAATTGCTGTGGCCTTAAGTAAGTGTAATCATGTGAATGTTGTCATGCTGAAAGTTTCTAAAGCACTACCTTGAAGGTTTCTACATACGATCCTTGACAGGATGCTGCTTCATTTCACTTACGCTGTTCAGGTTGGATCTGTTTAAAAACTTGGTTTTGGATAAGCATGCAGCATACCTGTCTATTGCAGGTTGTTAAACTATTTTATGGTATTTGAAGAAGAATTGTGTTTTCTTAGTTACCCAGACATATTTTAATGGCGTTCATTACTGGCAAAAGCAGAAGTAGGGGTTGTGGGGTTTTAATCTTTTACAAAAATAAAATTTGTTGCACTGTACGAGTCTGTAATAAATTTTAACACTGTTCTTCACTAAGAAAAACGGTGTTAGAAGTGTATCATAGACACAAGCAACATACCAGGTCTCCCTATGCTGAATTTTAGGAGCATATTACTTCATTCAGTAATAGAATTTTCTGAAGTAATAAGGATATGTTGCAGTACCCAGAAAAGGTTTTTCAATTCCAGAACTAAAATTCAGGCCTTTTTCTCTGAAAATGTTGTGGCTACTGGCACATAGCTAAAAATAGACCAATCATGCAACTGCCAGAAAGGGTAATGGGTGATAGCTAATACGATGCATATGATTTAAGTTATTTTAACCTGTTCTTTAATATTAATATGTGGTACCCCCTTGTTAAGAAGGAAAAAACATTTCAATCGGCCACTGAAAGAGGTTATGTGCTATTAATGACGAAAAGACAGGAAAATTATTAATTTGGTGGATTAGTGTTTCTGTGAATAGCCTGGGTAAAAGTGGCCATTTTAAAAACGGGTTTGCTAGGTGACAGTGCATGTAAACAGGGCAAAGAAAGTAAATATTTAATAGTTGGTACTAACTGGGTGGAAATCTTAAAGGAGGAAATCTTATCCCTTACTTGACAATACAGAGGTGCTTTCAGAGACTGTTTCAATAAATGTTGTAAATGCCAGTGTAAAGTAATATACCTGTTGCATTGGTAGAGCAGGGAAGGCATTTGTTGTGCAGATGGCTATCAATGTAGAACTAGTTCTTAATTAAGAACTAGTAGTTCTTAATCAGACTTCCAAACCACATGCTACATTGGCAGCTTAATCTTATACTCTGATGTGTTTGGACTGTGTCTGTACAAGGTAGTTTTCAAATCCTTACAGGCATATGATAACTGCTGATCTGCATCAGATAGCAGAATTATGATTATTCCTTGACAGTTGTATCTTGGAGGGGGTTTTTAGTTGTTTTTCGTATTTATCTTCTTGGGAAGACATCTGGGGAAGGAAAGAAAACTGATAATAGGTAACATTATCACCATGGTTATAAATGGTGTTAAATGTAAGTAAAATTTTGGCTCCAGCCACTGAGCGTGAGATAGAGTGAAAAAATATGTTTACTTCAATTTCAGAGATTTGAGTTATATGACTGCCCAGAAGCTCAGCTTTTTGTGGTAGGATTAGGGCCTGAAAATGTGAACTTTTTGAAAAAAGCATGTTTTAATGGGATCTGTAATAGTTAGACACCAGTCTTTACTGTCAGTTGCTCTTGAAGGCCCTAGCTCTATATAATAAAGAATAAAAAAAAAAAGAAAAACGTGTTGGTCATTGCAGTGGCAGCTCCTACATTTCCGACTAGTATTTGCCTCTGTCAGAAGAATCCTCAACTCTGTTGCTGTTACAGGAGATGATCCACAAGATGCAGATGATTAAGAAACTTCTGCTTAGAATGCTATCCCAGCATTAAAGCTGTGTGAGAGGGAAAGAGCAAAATAGGGTGTCCCAAGAGGAGGAGAAGATGCATTCATGTTATGACACAGTTTGTGTTGTTCAGCTGATAGTTGCAAGCAGTCTGATACTGCACGTGAACAGAATGGGCTGTTGCAGATTGGTAAATTAGGGGATGACAAAGGTGACTTTCCCTAGGGGACTGGAACTGTTGCAGTTCCATTCCTGCCATAGATCAGCAACACTCTGTGTGTGCCAAGAGGTGAATTGTTCCCTCAGAGGTGTGTGCAAAACCTGGGGCCGGGACTTTCTGCATAGCCAGTTGTACTTTTGTCCTGAAGTCATCTTGTTGTATGTATTAAATCAAGTCCTGTTGAGCTGCAAGACTTTTATGAACTTTGTTGCTTTTGGGAAAATGCATAGTTTGTGTTTAGCCTGTGTTGCTGAAGACAAATAAAAACTGTAAACCACTCCATTGAAATTCATAGAAGTAGAAAAGCCCTAGAAGAGTTGAATTACAGTTGCACTGTTTTTTACTTGATTTCTAAGAACTGCATTGGAAGGTCTCTTTTTTGGAAGAATGAGAAATAGGAGTTCAAGAGAAAACCAGAAATACTTGATCATTGCTGGGTGTCTTAACTGGTGTAGGTAAGACTGGCTGCCTTTCAGGATTTATTCTATAGCCTTAATGCGTAATATGCTTGCTGGCAAGGAGAGGGTTACAACTTTGACTTTTTCTTTTTTTTTTTTTTTTTTTGTCAGAATGGATAAAAACAGAAGAGGGGTACAAGCCTGCCGTGAGCTGCTCTTGTATTTTGGGACTTCTAGAGTTAATTCTTGTTCTGTCAGATTTGAAGCTGGGGATAAAGGCTGGTTCTCTCACATACGAAATGGTTTACGGCTGAGGTGATGAGTCTTCTATCTCTGCTGATGGAGCTCCTCTACTTTAGATAAAGAATTAGTCATTGCAAACAGAGTGAATCTAATAACAGGGAGTTTAGTGCATTTGTGTGGAATGGAGGAAACAAAAACCTGCCCTCAGTCTGCAATTTAGCAGTTCCTCTAAGCTGACACAAACGTGGGCTTTTACTGAAGGGTGGCTGCTCCTTTCAGTTGCTGTCCTTTTGTGCAGGACATGTGCAGCCCTGTGGTGAGCTGGAGCAGGGGTGGGATCCACTTGAAACTTGACCCGGAACAAAAGTTTTTTTTTCAGTTGAATCAGTACTCATAGCAGAGCATCAACATCAGGAGAAAGAAGAGGTGGTCATGTCCAGCGAGGAATGAAGGGGTAGGAGAGTGTCAAACTGCCCTTCTTGGCAACTTCTTACATCCAGACTGTCTGGAAGCAACAGCAGCCTGAATCTAGTATATTTCCTTGCTACATGGATGCCATCCAGAGGAGCTTTGACAGGCTTGAGAGGCAGGCCAGTGTGAACCTCACAAAGTTCAACAAGGCCAACTGCAAGGTCCTGCACCTGGGTTGGGGCAGTCCCAAGCACAAATACACGATGGACAGAGGCTGGATTGAGAACAGCCCTGCAAAGAAAGACTTCAGGGTATTGGCTGACAAGAAGCTGAACATGGGCTGGCTTCAGTGTGCTCTTGCAGCCCAGAAAGCCAACCATACCCTGGGCTGCATCAAAAGCAGCATGACCAGCAGATTGAGGGAGGTGATTGAGCCCCTCTTACTCTGCTATAGTGAGACGTCACCTGCAGTGCTGTGTTCAGGTCTAGGGCCTCAACACAAGACTTGGTCGAGTGAGTCCTGAGGAGGCCACAAAGATGATCAGAGGGCTGGAGCACCTCTCCTATGAAGCCAGGCTGAGAGACTAGGGCTTTTTTGGCCTGGAGAAGAGAAGGCTTCGGAGACATCTTAGAGCAGCTCCAGTGCCTAAAGGAGCCTTGCAAGAAATGTGGAGAGGGGCTTCTTACAAGTGCATGTAGTGACAGGACAATGAGGAATGGCTTTAAGCTGAAAGAGGGTAGATTTAGATTCAATATTAGGAAGGAGTTCTTTACCGTGAGGGTGTTGAAGCACTGGCACAGGTTGCCCAGAGAATTAGTGTCTTCCTCATCCCTGGCAGTATTCAAGGACAAGTTGAATGGGGCTTTGAGCAACCAGATGTAATGGAAGCTCTCCCTGCCTGTGGCAGAGGGGTTGGAAGTAGGTGACCTTTAAGGTCCCTTCCAGTCCAAACTTTTTAATGATTCTAGTATTCTGTATTGAAGTATTTGCTAGAAGTGTTGTAGTTTTGTTTGATCGTTTTCTTTCTACAGAAGATCCGTCCTTGTTCTGGTATTTTTTTCAACTATATGTTAGTTTATCTTTCAGTTTTGATGGTTCTGTAATGATTAAGTATAATAAACCTGACAAATTTGTCTAAAATATCTCTGCAAAAAGCTTTTTTGGTTTTGTTAGGTGTTAACAACTTCTGCTTCCCCAAATCTGTAAAAGTGGAGATTAAAAAGGGCCTTTTGCACTCTCAGAATCTATATTTCAAGCTAGCACCCTCTCTTCCACTAATTTTGAAGCCTTGATTTATTTTTCTTTAAATGAATGAAGAGATTAGCTTGATTTTATTGGCTTATGTGTGTTTTATTCTTTGGAAAGAAAACAGTAAATAAGAAATGAAATGCTGTGTGGTTCCTCACTTAGCTGTTTAGGAGGGACTTGACTACAGAGGACAGTTTTGAAAAAAAAAAAAAAAAAGGCTGATTGCTTTATTCCCTGACCCAATCCCTTCCTTTGTTTTATTTTTTATAATATTTCTGGTTTCTGAAGAGCATTTTGTAATTTGTAGCATAAGTTTATAAGAAATCAAATAGTGTATTTCCACAGGAGGACAAAATAAAATGCAGTGCATGAATTAAGTGGCTATAACAATTCAAGCAGAAACCAATCGTTGTCAGGGTATAAACACTGACTATCAAAGAAGGTTTTTCTTCAGAAAATGAAAACCAGCTGTATTAAGGGATTTAAAGAGCAGTCATCAGTGTATGTATTCTAACGGTCAGTTTGTAAAGCATTTCTTTTTGTAGCCTTTTTTGCCTCTCTGTGGGAAAAAATGTCATAAAATCATAAAATATCTCAAGTTAGATACGAACCATAAAGATAAAGTCCAATGCCAGCCATGTTTGTATTAAACTTAAAAAAACTATGTTAATGCAAAGCACCCTATATACTTTTGAACTTTTGGTAATGTGTGGATATTGAAAGAACATACTGTACTTTATACATACAAGAAATCCACATTAATGACTGTATCTTATTTCCCTTTGTTTTTTGTTTGTTGTTTTTTTCTTTTACAAAGTTTTACGACAACCATAGAATGCAGTCTCATTACTATAACATTTTTTAAATAATGCAGCTGTCTGATATCTCAGGTTTTGTTAATATCCTATTAAGGAAAGGACCTTAGTACCAACCCCCATGCCATGGGCAGGGCCATGTCCCAGTAGACCAGTTGCTCAATTATTCTTGCAGTAAATATTACAGGAAATATATTGCAAAAATGCTTATGTGGATCAAAATGCATGCTCAGAAAGTTTCCCTTTGCAGTGTGCTGGTGTTGTGACTGTCTCTGGAGGTGCTGGAACCAGTGCAAGCCATCTTCTGGCTTCCTCTAAAAATACTTTATCACTTCGTTTTTAACGTTAATTGTCCTTACGGAAGACGCATTTTAATTTTTCATTTGGGGCTTTGTCTCTCCCTCTTTGGTGAATACTTTAGTGGATCACAGCTCAACTTTGAGTTGAGCACTACACCAGACAGAAGCATTAAAGGTGTATTTGCTTTTGATAAGATGGTATTTTGCTCATTTGGGTACTGGAATGATTAGTCTTGAAGCAGCAGTACCCACCCCCACTTAGGCTTTGGTTTTGGGCTGCTTCATGAGCTAGTTATATTAGTAGAATAGAAATCATGTAGG